ACCCCCAGGGGGGATGGCCACGTCTTCATTTTCCTCTCAGGATTTTAGGCATGCATGCACATGCACCCAGCATGAGTTTTAAGCTGCTGGGTCCAAGACGCAAACCATGGTTGACCATGTGGGAGCCCAGTAACATAATCATTACGCCATCTACTGGGCCACCCACCACATGATTTTCAAGGGCCCGGGTCCAAGACTTGAACCACTGTCAGCCCTGTTCCCACATGCACCTTAACCACCATGCCACCTGCTGGCCCCTCAGCTCTTAGTTCTCATAAATTCCACTTTCCTTGTGTTTTGAATGGTGGCAGGACCCTTCTCAGGATAGCAAAGGAAGGGGTTTCTCACCATCCTTGGCAACTTGAATTTACTAGGGGTCCCTGTGGGGTTAATGAAGGCTCTCCGCGCACTCCCAAAGGCCCTCTTTATCTCTTTTTTGACAGAAGCACCCGGAATCCAAAATGAGCAGCTTGCCTCCAGCAGTTGGCCCAGAGCCTCACCCTTAAAGGCCATGGCTGCAAGGAATTCTGCCGCGCACAGTAAGTTGATGGGCAAGAACAGTTTCTTCTGTCATCTTACCTGCAGCAGTATTTTCGCAGAATCGTGGTTTAAATTGTATTTATAATAAGCAGAGGCCATTTTCCCAGGGAACCGGTCTCGGAAATCCTAAAATGGAGGCAGCAAGATTCACTCTGATCTCTAGCTGCGGAGAAATCAGCTGCAGACCAAATCCCAAGCAGAGCAGGTGTACTGGGCATCGTTATGGCCGCTCCATTTCCGCAGCACTGGCTTAGCCCCTCCCCGCTATCCAGAACTTAGCTGGGGGCTCTGGTAGAAGTCTGCTAACTAGCTAACTTTGTTTGTTTTTGTTACTGTTTTTTGTTTTTTAAGAGAAGACTCCATTGCTTTTTTCCTTGTGAAAAAAACAGTCACAACATTATTTCTCCCAGCCGTTACAGGTTTGAATTTTCTTGACTGTTCTCCTGGGCTAGGCTTCCTCCAGCCACTATTGGAAGCATGTACTTGCCCGGTGCACCTGATTGGCCACTGAGGCACATGACTTACTGCTGATTGGGTGACTTTTGACCCCTAGGCTTGGTGGGAGGGGAAGAGGTATGTGGCTTTTATTTGGAAGGGACAGGGTAGAACAGGGACAACCATAGCCCAGAAAGGAGGTGAAGGTTTCCTGGTAAAGTAGTATCTTATGTATTTATTTCAAAAGTGGAGGAGACAAAGTCAGTTAGACTTTAATTCAACTGACCTTTTCCATAAAACTGCCATATCTGAGAGGTCTTCAAAGTTCATGGAAAAAATGCATATTATGAAAGCACTATGCATGAGTTTCAAAATTTTTTTACAGCATGATAAACTCATACATTTTGGGGGTGGACTTTTCAAAATACCATCATAGATGAAGCAGAATTTAATGAGGTTTTTTGAGTTCTTTAACAAGGTCTTTTGAGTTCTTTTAGAAGAACAAGCTTTTTATACAAGGTCTCTAAAAGACCTGCTTTATAAGAAGTATCTGTAATAACAAATGAAATTCCAGTGCTGCGTAAAGTATTTTTAACTCAGATTTCACATGTATCTACCCATTCTTTGCTAGAATAACCAGAAATCATTTGTGAGTCAAATGAAGTATAAGAGATTCTCAACTGTCCTCTCCTAACGTGCTAAAGATAATGTTTTAAGTAGATAATTCTAAACTTCAAAATGGAGTGGAAGTTTAGGCTAGTTGGCAGCAAAACAAAACATAAAAATTATATCCCTTTGGGGGGAAATGACTTGTCAGAAATTGAAGCTGTTTGAATATAGAACTAAATTTCAGAGAAATGTTTTTATTATTTTAAATGTATTCCCTTTATTTATTTTTGCCAGAGAGCACAAGCACTTGCCAGAGAGAGAGAGAGAGAAGGCACTCCCCAGTGGAATGTGGTCATACTGCAATCCTTTCTCCATTTTTTCCATCCTATCAGGATTTGTAGCTCACACACACATACCTAGGGTGACTTTTCAAGCTGCCAGGGCTGGGATTCAAACTGTGGCCAGCCATGTGGAATCCAGCTCCCTATGCATAGGGACTGACCCCAGAATGCGTTCGTAAGGTGTTTCGTTTTCGTTTTCCTGTTTTTTAGATTCATCATTTACTGCCCCATCTAACTCAGTCAGAAATGGCTGTGCAGCTGGACTTACTGCACATCAAGGTAGTACAGTATGTGCATCAGGAAAGTCATGCCATATGTTTCTATTTTTCTGCTTTTAGATGGGACCAATAACAGTAATGCAAAAATGTGTCATGACTTTCCCAGCGACCCAATACAACACAGCTTTCCAACCTCAAGTGTATTGTTTTTGTTTTACATTGAAAATAAATTTACCTAACGCCAAAAAGTTTAAAAACAAAACAAAACAAAACAAAAACCCTGCAGTATCTTGATTCCGCCCCTCCCAGTGTTACACTGTTGGCCACTGTTCAAAACCTTTAACTTGTTTGGCAGTATCTTGATTCCGCCCCTCCCAGTGTTAAACTGTTGGCCACTATTCAAAGCCTTTAACTTGTTTATTTTTATTTAATTATTGGGAAAGTAGTCATGGTGTACATTTCCCCATTTTACAACTTGCAAGGCCTTGTCTCACTGCCATTACGCATCATAGCGAAGAAGCTTACAGTTGTGAAGAAGTCAGCTTCTCCCTTACATAAGCGTTATTCCTAATTTAAGACTGATTGTATCCCAAATTTTAAAAATGCTGAATAACCAAAAGCATACAAATTCTCTGATCGCATTCACTTAATTCAACAAGTAAATATCTGGCTTGTAAATGGAACACCTAGGGCTTTGTGTTTAAGAAATTTGGTTTTTAGAATAGTCGTTTTATTGTCGATTTTGTATAAAGGTAAGTACCTTTAAAATAAATGCTAAATCATTGCTGACATCAGGAAATTCTACTGTTGTTCATTTAAAATTTTGTTTTCAAGTGTCTTTAAATCGAAAACCAACAGAGTGGGACACCACGGAAGAGAACCTTATCAAGAGAGTGAGAAATCTTCGTCAGAGACTCACCGCGCAGGCTCGGAACAGGTGTCAAACCCCAGGTCTTTTGACTACGTAGGCGTGTCACCTGTAGATCGACAGAGAGAAAGATTCCTATTGCACAATCAGTGACACTGATTTTTAAATTATTTATTTGAAATTCCTGTAAACATCAACCTTTTGTATAAAAAAAAGTGTCCTTAAAAATTATGTGTTCTATTCAAATATTTTGGCTTGTAAATGACTTTTTGAACTTTTCACAATAAAATGTTTTTGGAAACTTTGAAACTTGTATTAGGCTTCCAGGCTAAAGGATGGGCATAAACTTCAATAACTTTAGTCGATCGAGGTTTGAAAGGTAGAGAAATAATGAACAGGAGACCAGCTCTGCTCCTACACAGCCAGGACTGAGCAAGGACTCCAGCAACCCAGGAGCACTGCCAGTGTAGACTGGCCTGAATCATGGCCTTCCCACAGAGGCCTTCAGCAGCGGGACCTCCCCTTCGCCAGTGACCCCACCGCGCTAGTGCTGCTGGGATCTCTGACCCCCCGCCTCTCTTCTCCTGCCCTCACCTGCTCCCCACAGCAGGCCTGCTCCTGACCTCACCAGACCTATCCTCCCTTTCCTAAAGGAGAGTAGAAAATAGCTCTTGAGTTTGATGAGGATTAGGTAAGATTCTGTATGGAAAGTTCCTGGTCCAGGGCTTGACATACAGTAAATGTGCAATACATAGGAGTGGTTCTTTTTCTTGGGATCAGAGGCATAATCTCACAGTGAACTAAATACTTCCAGTAAGCACGGAATTTTGTCCAGGTGGCAATGTCCTAAAATAATACCCTGTCACCACGCAGGGCAATGGCTTCCCGGTTTCCTGAGCCTAATTTTCCCTACGTTTTCCGGTGGTTACCAACTTGCCTTCTTGGGCCAGACTGGTGTATGTTCAGCAGCAGGAGACACAGGATATAAAATACTTACGGTGTGGAGAGACTGTTGGGGAACTAGACGTTGCTTGCTCATCTGAACACACTCAGATTCTAAAATCCCGCACTTCTGCCAGCCGCCATCAGCTGTACGTTGCCAGGTTTTTACTTCTATTTCAGGTTCGCGTTTACTAGAATTTACACCTACTCAGACTGGTTTTGCTACCATCCACACACAAACATAGACCTTTTATATGTAGGATTCCAGTTTTTTTTTTTTCCAGTATTGCTACAGGGCATGTGCACTTGCCAGAGAGAGACTGAGGGAAAGTGAGAAATCACCCCCAGGTTGATTCTCCTCTTGGGACTTTGGAAATGCATTAACACACATCTGGTATGTTGTTCAAGCTGCTGGACCTGGACTTGAACTGTGCTGACAGCCATGTGGGATCCAACACCTTAGCCACCATGCCACCAGCTGGCCCAACAATAGTTTATTTTTTAAATTTCTCTTAAATTTTCATTATATTTATTTTTTAAAAATTGCTATTTGGGCACATTCATTCACCAGAGAGACAGAGAGAGGGAAAGTGAGAAAGAAAACTGCCAGGTCCAGGACTGAAACTATGATAGCCATGTGGGAGTCTAGAGCTTTAACCACCAAGTCATCTGCTGGCCCCTTTAAATTTATTTGCATCCAGTGAAAATCACTTATAGAAACTACCAACCAAATAAAGAAGTGTTGGGAACCAGCAGTTAGCGTAATGGCTATGTCACTGGACTCCCACGTAGTCGACCACAGTTCGTGTCCCGGACCCAGTGACTTAAAACTCACGCTGGGCGCGTGTGCGTGTATGCTCAAGATCCCGAGAGGAGAATGGAGGAGAAGGGATTGTGGCATGATGACCATCCCCCCTGGGGGGTGATTTCTTGCTTTCTGTCTCTCTGTCTCTCTGTCTGTCTGGCAAGCGTACACACCCTATAGCGAAAACCTCTCCAAAAAAAAAAAAAAAAAACACACACACACAAAGAAGTGTTTTGTTTTTATCACATTCTTCTAGTTTTCTCTGCACCTACATGACTCCCAGTAATCCTGATGGTCACTGCCTTTGCAGATTCCACATATTTGGTAGAATCTCTATAGTCATATGTGCTTGGCTACAATTGTTCACGTGTTGGCTACATTCAGCAAGTTTCTCTCCAGTACTCCCTTTGGTGGAAGCATGGGCCGTAAAGGCCTTTTCTTATTTACCACATTCCTAAGGTTTCTGTCCAGTGCAAATTATACACTGTTGACTAAAGGCTGGGCTTCAGCTAAGTCCCTCTCCACATTTGACTACACTTGAGTTCCTTTCCAGTATGAATGCATTGGTGCTGAGTAAGTTATTAACCTGTTAGAAGCTTGTTCACAGTTACATTCCCTAGGTGTTTCTGCAACATGAATTCTCCCACCTTGAGCGAGATTTGAGCATTTACTGAGGGCTTTTTCACACTCATTACCTTGACCATGGTTGACACTGACAAAAGTTGGCTTACCAGTACAGCCTAAGGCTTAATTTATAATATGGGTGAATTTATCTGACTCTGGATTTCATATTTAATCTCTTTGTATCAGCCTGAGTCCAGTCAGGAGACAAACCATACAATAATTTGAACAAGGGAGATTTAATGAAAAGACTTACATACAGGGCCAGGAGGTGGTGTGGTGGTTAAGTTAATGGACCCCCCATATGGCTGACTGCAATTCAAGTCTCTGACCTGGAAGCTTGTTTTCTCACTTTTCCTTTCTGTCTGTCTGTCTCTCTCTGATAAAATTTTAAAAATAATAAATAAATCTTAAAAAAAAAAAAAAAAAAAACTATGGTAGGAAAAAACTATGGAGATGTCAAGAGAACCCCAAGGCCAGCCCATGGTGTAGTGGTTAAAGGAGGTGGATCCCACATGGCTGACTGGTTTGAGTCCCAGCCCTGCTGGCTTGAAAAACATACTTGGACATATGTATGTGCCCAATGTCCTGAGAAGGAGAAATGGAAGAAAAAGAATTGTGGTGTGACCATGTGCAGTGGGCAGTGGGAATGTTCTCCCTCCCTTTAGAGAGTACACACACCCTCCAGGAATTAAAGAGGGGAAACATCAGAAAGTAAGAACCCTAAAGTACCCTAAAGGGATAATATTCCAGGAAGGACAAGCTTGGAAGGGAATTCCCCCTCCCCCCTCAGGTTAGACCACTGGACTTTGGACAGGCTCTTGGGGGAGCACTAGTCTGTGTTCCCAGCAGCAGGAAATCATTCCACAGGACTCAGGCAACTTGAGGCTGGGGGAGAGAAAGTGCATAGGGCATCAGGACCCCTTGTCGGGTGGGGTGCAGCTTGGCAAGCGCGCGCTGTCCATGCTAGGAGGGCCGTGGAAAACAGCCCTCCAGGACACACAAACCAGGGCTGGCAGGCAGGCGCTCAGAGTGCCCCAGGGTGCCGCTGCTGAGACCTGGAACATGCAGTGTCAGTGTTGGGAGACCCTCAGGCTGGACTGTGAAGTCACAAAGAGAGGTGCATGCTGGGCAGAGCACGACTGGACGCCCCGCAGGCTCCACACCACGAGAACCATGAGAATAACAAAACAGCGTGGGCCTAGGACCAGGCCCCTTCCTTCCACAGTGACCCTCCAGCACCCTCTATAGACAGCTTATAGTCATCACACTAGAGAGGAGAAATCCCCTGTATTGCAGAGCTCCGCCTTACAGAGTGCATTGGGGAATAAATGTACACATGTTGGAATATTCACTTTACAAGCTAAGTGACATCTGGTTGAATGTATAAAAATTTAAAATAAAAAATATATTTAAAAAAGAGTGCATTTGGAGTCGAGTGCTGCTAGCACATTGCTATGACCGGAAGTGGCTCTGCAGAGTCATTGGTTGATTGCCAGGAGTGTGGATAGTGTTGGCCTCTATTTAATGAGACCGCAATACCAGAATTCCCCCCGCATGGTATGGATGAAGGTATTCCAAGGCTTAAGAAGGAAGGAATGTCGGCGTGGGTTTATCACGAATGCCCCCCCCCAAGCTACACGCTCTGGGCCACCAGGCGTGTGGACAAATGTGAGACGCTCTGCCGTGGTTCCCAGTGCTCTCTGGTCTCACCGGAGTTAACAGGAGTCCCTAGCAGCAGAGGCTGAGTGACAGCGTTCTGTACCAAAGACAGCCATCTACAGCAGAGGGCAGCAGGGAAGCAGTCCTATTATATTAAGAGGATTTTCGGCCATAATTGATTACACTGTCCCTACGAATGAAATAGGTAGGCAGCCAACGGAAATGCTGCTGGATATATGTGACAGGAAAAATCCAGACCTGGTGGCCAGACCAGGTGGCTGACAAAGCCACCGCAGTGGAAAGCCACGCCTGTCCCCCAGTTCCCAGACCTGCAGTCAGTCCCAGATCCAAAGCCTCTTGATAGAAGGGGAGGCCAGGTCTCCTGGAGGAGGGAACCCCATGGCAGGGCCACATAGGCCAGAGTGTTCTTTATGCCCTTCCCCAAAGGGGCCTGTTGCCATTTATGTGAGTGCGCCTTAGAGAAAAGAGCCCCCCAGGCCTTACGGGGGTAACTGGACCTGGGCTGTGAACCCACACTAAGTGCTATGGCCCACTAGGGAAAGTCAACCCTAAGGGTGGTCATGTGAGAAGGAGTCTTGGGCGAAGTTCGAATTACAGTAGGCGAATAGAGCCGTGGGCCCAATGCACAGTCATTTCCAAATACAGACTATACATGGAATAAACGTGCATGGCAGATGGCAGACGCTCCAGGGACACTGTGACCCCCTGAGAAAGGGCTGCTGTCCCACACAAAGCATGCCAAAGCCCTAGGTAGATCCCTCCTGTCAGGGCCATAAGCCGCAAGTATCGTCCATTGATCTGGGGCCATTGCAGAGATCAGCCGCACCGTCAGAGCTGAAGGATGAAGGGCGGACCGACGCCATCCGGTCTCCACTTAGCTTGCGGTTGCACCTGCGCAGAAGGCAGCTGGACCACGGGGCCGCGGGATGGGTAGGGCCTCAGGGGCGAGGCCTGCATTTGCAGCGACCTGTTTCAGCTGCGGTCTCGCTCCAGCTGGGGGCGGTCAGGCGCCACCCCCGCCCCGCCCAGCTGCGCTAGGACCGCCCCCCGCCCCCG